CCCCCCCCCCCCCGCAGACCTGCACACGGAAGCCGTACAAGCAGCCTTGGCCAAGTACAAAGAACGGAAGATGCCCATGCCTTCCAAACGGAGGTCCGTGTTAGTGCAGTCCTCCGTGGAAGCATGTACCCCCCCAGGTGAGCGAAACGCAGCCAGCTGGCCTTCCTTTACGCTGGGGGGGGTGGGGAGGGGGGCAGCTCTGGCTTCAAGGGGAAAAAAACACTGAGAAACTCCAATGCATAGACTGGCAAAAAGCCTAAAAATATCGTTTCACATCTAATGGAGAGAAGGAAAGCTTTTGAGGAAGGTCAGGCGCTTATTGTCATTCCCGCTTCTGCTGCTGAGTGCAAGAAAAAAAACTGTTGTTTAAAAGTGGAAAGCGTTGTTTTAGCGTTTGAGACACTATTTCCTGTTTATTCATTTGTGGCGACGTGTGTTTCCGTCCCTGTTGGGGGGGTGGGGGTGGGCCTAAAAGAGCTTAGGGGGTCAATGGGCAGTTTCACATTGAATAATTAAAAAAATATATTAATAAAAACCACTCCCTCCTGCCAGTGAGATACATCTGATTAAATCTGCTTTCAGGTTCTGCTTGTTTGTCAGAAATCACCAGATTGTGATCCAATTTATCACAGTTAACAAACAGGATTAACTACCCCCCACCCTTAGTACACACATGTCGGTGTACACCCCCCACGTGTGCAATCATACACACGCAGAAGCTTTTCCTTCAGGTGGGTTAATCTCACATTACATCCCCGTGTATCTGCAAGAGGCTCCGCTTTAAGTGTGATGTGTCTGTTTGTATCCAGGCTTAATTACTCAAGTTAACATATTCTGTGAGGATGATTGTCTTCACTGGAATCTGACCTGGTTTCTCGCTGGGTTTATTTGGGCGCTTAAGGCTGTCTTACCGAAATTGACTTTTATAATCTTACTGGCACAAAGCGCAGGACAAATGGTTACCATGGGAATGCGGGTAAGTTGAGCGAGGTTCGCCGGCTCCCTGGTTATTACCTGAGTGTCTGTATGTGATGGGGCTCATGTTTGCATTGAGCTCTGCACAGTGTTCAGGAAGGATTCCTCAGGAAGCTTTCGTACCGGATCGTGTAAACGTGCGACGGGAATGCTGGCCCCAAGATGCAGTCGCCACAGGTGTTGGGATTCCAAAAGCCGTAGTGTGGGGAGACGCGGACGTGCTAAGCCAGTCGTCCAGAGCTGGTATCTTTTTGGATTGTCATACACCTTACCCCCCCACCCGCCCCCCGCGGCTGGGTGTCCTGAGCTGTGTGGCCATTTGTCTTGGCTGTGTAGTGGACAAGGGGGAGGGCCTTCGTCCCCAAGTCTGCGGGGCGGGGGGGGGCACTCACCTCTACCCTGAGAGCCGACAAGCCCCCGCAGCGTGGCTAATTTTAGCCTCGCTTTCGCAGCCGTTATTGCAGGCCGTGGCGCCTCGCAGCTCCGCCAAGCTGTTCCTCCGAAGCCGCGGGGGGCATCCAGGGTTCTCGTGTGTTGTTTTTACGGTTCCTTAAGCACGAATTTTCAGCACAGTGGTCTAATGATCGCATTCCTGTAGCTGGAGGGGTCGGACAGCGTTAGAATGGTTCTGAGGAAATATCTCTGCTAATTGTCTGTCACCGGCTGCAGTGGTAACATGAAAATGCATTTCTGAAGGCGTCTCTAAATCTTTGGGCAGTTGCAGGTTAGATAACGAGAACGGAGAGCTCAGCTGTCTGCCTCTCTCTCTCTCCTCCCCATCCTTTACTTTTTGGTGCATCAGTGTGAAGGTTATCGAGTGAAAGTGCATGTCGGGAAACACACACAAAAGCAACACATT